AAAATTTTAAAATCACTTATAATCCCAGCAGAGACAGCCTTTTTTCTCAATTTAGTTTATACTTGTGACAATCAACTGTTATTTATCCATGTCTATTTATCTTGCAAGAATTCAAGTCAGAAATTTAAAAAAAATGTCATAAGGGAAAATTCATTCTTTCTTATATCTTGGATTATCCCACAGTAGTGTACACTTTCTTTTTTTCCTGCCTGCAATTTCTCTAGAAACATCCTCCAATCTTCCCCCAACACATTCCATCCATATGGCCCCCATGGGAGTAGCCAGGCCTTCTGTGACCCTGAGTGTATTCATCTGTGGGATTAATGCTTAGAAGTGGAATTGCTTAAAAGAGGGCATGTGCTGTTATAAGTTTTGATAGATACTGCCAAACTGTCTTGCAGAGAAATCATAGCAATTTGCACGCCCACCAGCAGACATGTGAGTGCCTGTTTCCCAGTGGGATCACCAACAGAGTGTTGTCAAACTTTCAGCCCCCTGGGATCACACAGAGTAAGCTTAGCTACAGTGTGCTGAGTGTGCCCAGTGCCCAGCACCAAGTTGTCTATTTATTTATTTATTTTGTGAGGAGGACTAGCCCTGAGCTAACATTCGATGCCAATCCTCCACTTCTTTCTTGAGGAAGACTGGCCCTGGGCTAATATCCATGCCCATCTTCCTCCACTTTATATGGGACACCGCCACAGCATGGCTTAACAAGCGGTGCGTTGGTGCGCGCCTGGGATCTGAACCTGCGAACCCCGGGCCGCTGCAGCAGAGCGCGCGCACTTAACCGCTGCGCCTCCAGGCCGGCCCCAAGTGCTGTTTATTAATACTAGCTGAATTCTGGTGAGGAAAGTGGTATTATCTTCACTTTACAGATGAGGAAACTGAGGTTTAGAGAGCTTAGGCTGCCTCAACTCACAGACCTGAACTGACTCCAACGCCAGCATTCATTCTCACATCCACCCAGTGTTCTCAATCTTGACCGTATCAGAATCACTCAGAGGGCTTGTTAAAAGGTGGCTGGGCCCCATCTTCAGAGTTTCTGATTCAGCCTGTGGAGAAGGCCTGAGTACATGCATCTCCAGTTCCCAGGAATGCTGATGCTGCTGGTCCAGGGACCACACTTTGAGAACCATTGCTTCTATTACTCTAATATGGGACCCTATCAGGACCTGACCTTGCTGCTCTACCTTTGCCCTTGGTTGGGTGCTCATTTGAACTCTACATGTTTTACAAACCTTTTGTTTGTGTGTATGTGGGAATGTGAATATATCTTTCATAGTCCTTTGAATGCACCAAGTTAGGTTTGTGGCAAGTAAGTTCGCTTCAAGGCTGTTCCCCCACCTTTTTATGGAGATGATGCTCAGAGGAGCCCTTAGGAAAATTACAAGGAGTAATGCATGCATGCATGGAAAAACAAACAAACAAAAAACTCTTTGAAGATCATAAAATGCTCTTCCAAAGCTAGTTATAAATATTCCTACTGATGGAAAAGCTGTGAAGTACAGTTGGACAGGCTGGGACTGAGATGGTGGTTGGGGCACCGTGTGACACTAGATAAGTCAGGCCACTTCTCTGAGCCTCGAATTCCTTCTCTTTAAAATTGGGGATATTACGGGCTCCTTGAGGATTAAACAAGCCCCATGTGTATTGTCCCAAGCACTCTTTGTGCTCCAGAAGCTTCAGGGGCAGTGGTGTCCTCAGAGACAGAAGGGCTGGTCCTGGAACAATGGTTACAACTTGGTTGCTCGCAGCCATTTCCCCTCTAGATTCCCAGGGATAATGTTCATTTCCAGCTCTGTTTCCAGAAAAATCTCATATTCCCTGCTCCCTCCACATCCTGGTGATGACCTCTCCGTGAAACAAAATGGATTCTTTTCCACAACTGAAACTGTGAAGACACCTTTTCAGATTCCTGGAAAGAGCCCAGGCTGAACCCAATGACCACATGGACCCTTGGCTGGTGCCACTTGTTCCAGGTGCTGGAGATATGGCAGTGGACAAAGCAGAAATCCCTGCCCTTGTAAGCTTATTAATACTGTGTCCCTAAGTACGTCAACATTGAACTCGGATGTTTTCTTGGAATCTGGTGAGGGGTAAATACGCAAATTCATAGAAAATTGTAAGTTGGTCTGAAATTGACCCAATGAAGCTCAGATCTCTGGGAATCCCAGGGATGTGGCTATAGCTGGAAGTTCGCAAGCTGTGACGTGTGCAGGGATCTTGGGGCTCCTGTTATCCTGCAGATTCTGGCTCAGTAGGTCTGGGGCGGGGCCCAGGAACTTGCTTTTCCAACAAGCTCACAGGTTGCTGGTCTCTGGACCACTCTTTGAATACCTAGGGTTTAAGTGACATCTTATGTCATCACTACCAAATGTAACCTTATTCATCTTCAGCTTTTAGTGAAATTCTGAATACACAAAGGAAAAACTAATTTTATTAGAGTATTCTAGCTGTTACAATTTTGGACAGGGATGTAGGTTTGGGTGTCAGATCTCAGCTCCCACTACAGATTTCAAGTGACTAGGGGCAGCCTTGAGCATGCACTTCACTCCTGGAAGCCCCACCTTTCTCATCTGGGAGCAGAGACTTTTCCCACCTCCGTCTCGTTCAGGCAAAACCTTAATTGTTAGACATTTAAAAGGATGGATTCAAGTGTCTCCATGTGACCATTTTAATCTGATATTTGTAGTTAGGTTGTGGGTTATCTCTGGGGAAGGTGCTGGGGTTCTGAAATTTTACCATTAACATTGATATAGTGGCATTCTGAATGCATGTCCGGTGTCTCTAGATGGATATACGATGGGCACCCCTTCACTGAATGCACTGCTGTGTGGGGATTATCGTGTTTAATCTTCATAACAACTCTATGAGGCAGATTCAATTATCCTCTCCAAACAACCAAAACAAACAAAACTGAGGGTCACAGAGAACGTCAGGAGCCCAAACACATATATTTTAAGAGTGGGTACAACCAAGGCTGTACCGGCTCTGCCTCTTAAACCTGAGCTAGGGAATACATTTAAATAATTTCAGTGACGAACAGAGTCACGGTAGCGGAACAGATGCAGAGACACGACCAAGGAGGTTAGAATGCTCAGCTCTTTATTACATCTGTTAATAAGGCACTCCCCAGTCTTGGGTTAATTTAGGTTTTCTCTGTGAAGGATGGCAAATGTTAGTTCCACATTAGAATCTGACAATATAGAAGCAAACTGACCTCACCACCACCTGCAGTGGGGGTGAGTCACCAGGGTCTAAGGCAGAATCACAGGCCCCCGTGCTCATAATGAACGTTTCTGGAATTACACTGTGTGGGGCTTGGGTGGGGGGGCTCTATGCATATGGTGTTGAAGAAGGTGGAAGACTGGCAGCCAAAACTAGAAATATATTTTCCGTTAAAGGCATAATACAAAAATATCTCTCCATTTAGGCATTACTGATGGTAGCCAGATACTAAGTTTGAATGGAAGGTACCATCAACTGTAACACAAAAACTGCATTATCTTTTACATACAAATAAAAGAGAGGATTTATTTTCATTCTGAGTTTATTTAACATTTCATCCAGTTGAACTGAAATAATACATTGATTCCCACACTGGCAAGACACCGTGCTAATACTGAAATAAAAACTGCCAGTCAGTAAATACGTACAATCATAATTCTTCATATTACGTTAATAGAAATATGAATAACTATTTACTTTTACAGGCTTATTGCACTCCATGTGGACTTTTCTCCAGAAAAGGTATTTCTAAGAGATCAGCAAAGATTGCCAATCTTGGTTCATTTGTTCCTTTTTATAAACCATGATTAAACTATACAGTTAATATTTCTATATAAAAAGCATCAAGAGTTGGAAGCTTCAATAAATAATGTTTAAAAAGACACATCTCCATGTTCATTATCCCTTTTATACCGACGCTTTGGTCATATCTTCCTGGTGTATATAAAATTTCGGTTAGTTCGTCAATCTTCCAACCAGTCATTAATTTTTCAACGAAGGTTAAGATTCTGAAATGGAGCTACCGATTAACCGGGGGTAAGAACTCTGAGGTTAGCTGGGGTGGGTGGGGTAGGCCTCAAGTGCGTTCGTTTCTTACTAAAAGCGCCCTTTAAGCACCTCATGGAGATCTGCCTTGAAATTCAGGCTTTTTACCAGTTTTTAAAGAGAAGCATCGATGGCAACAAAATACATCCAAGGCCAGAATGTCATTGGGAAGCTATTTTGCTTCAAAATGGTTTAAGACAGAAAAGTCTAAATGAGAAAATTCTGGTGGCACAAAGGAAGGCTCAGAGAAGCCCCAAGCTTCATATCCATTGATCCTTTTAGAGAAAAGAGAAACACAGACACAAGGCACGCTATGTTTTCTTTATGAGGAAATTCAGTTTGGTCACATTGTCAGGAAAAATCTGTCAAAACTAGTTTCTACATTTTTCTCACAAGTCTCTGAATTACAAATTGAATTGAGTGGTCTACACTCAACAACCACCTTGTGTATGCCTTTGAACATCTACAGACTTGAAACATAATCTGTTACATTAAATATATTATATGTGAAACTACTACAGATGATGTAAACAGTGGTCCATGGATTCATTATTCTCAAACAGGCTGGAATGTAATATACATCATTCAAGTAAAATTCATTTAGTTACTGATTCACATACACATTATTTCTGTATCTTTATGAAAGCCAAAGAAATGTATAAGCTCGACAAGAAAAGACATGTAGTTAGCTGGAACTGTGCTCTCACTGCTAAAAAAAATCAAACTAGATTCCACTCAGTCATACTGCATTGGTTTTGAACATACTTCCAAAATTTGACATCTGTAAATTTCAGTTACTTGATGTAAATAATTGACTGTAAAGTCAACAAGTGCAAGGCAGGATTAACATCTTCATAAGAATGTAAAACATAAATTTAAAAGTCAACCAAAGAACCCCAACAGCAATATGAAAGCATCTAGTTGCTGACAGCGGGGACGGCTCGTCACACTTGACTTTTGGGAGGTATATGAAGGAGCTGTTATCCTGCAGATCCAAAAGGCTCACAATCTACCTCGGGGTGCCCACCGCCCAAACTGGAAGCAAACTGCCCTAATATTTATGAGTCATTTTTTACTGTTGAGCATCAGAACTTTTGTGTTTTCCCAAATCACTGCTGAGATCTCCGTGATTTGAAACAAGAATGGGATTAAAAATTCATTATTTTAAACAGATTTCCTTTTCACGGACTGATAATCAATAAATATTTATTGAGCATATACTGAACATCTACTCTATGCCTAGCCGTGCTTTTTAAAACTCTGGGTGAGGACTGGGATATTGTGTTTGAAAAACAATTACTATAAAAGCTACAGAAAGGGTATTTCTGTAAATTATACCGTGATTCTAATGTAAGGGAGCCAACGGGTGCCGGGCACCTGGCCCACACCAGGCGCTATGCTATCAGGAGCAGCTTGACTCGAAAAGGGTCCAGGGGGTCTTTGAAAGGTTTCTATAACTGGAAGAACCCAGGTGCAGCAGGATCTTCCTCACCTACACGGCACCCCCGGGTGTGCAGTTGGCGGGGTAAGCCGTCGTGGTCTCTGTCCCCACGTTACAATCCCTTATTAAAGTACACGCGTCGTAATTCAGGAGAGGTCTCTCGGATCTTGGCTTGCAACTCAGCCTCCAAGCTTGTCACAGACATGGAACTGGGATAAGGGAGACATGACAGGGTTATTACATGGGCAGAGGCGAGACCTAGAACCTGGAGAGGGCAGAGAGAGGACCACCCCGCCTCCCCCAGGACTGTGCAGTAAAACAGAGTCCTGTTTGAAAAATGCTTCATGTGCCTAGAAAACAAGTATCCTGTTCCTTTCAGAAAATCCACGGTCACTAATAATCAAAGAAACGCACCTTAAGAACCCAACAATTACTAAAAGCTAAAAAAGCACTCATCGCTGGCAAGGACGTGTGGCAATGGCACTCTCAGACCCTGCTGGCATTGGAAAACAATTTGTGGCAACGCCACTTCCCAAGGAAAACCGTATAAATGTTCACCACTAAGGAAAAAAGATGCTCTCAGTGGAATTTTTAACGCTAAAAACTCATTTGCACTATGTGCTTTTATCCATTGTATTATATTACATGCGTACTCTAAAGCTTTTAGAAAACACTACAATGTATGAGAAAAGCATCCCCAGTAGTCCCACCACTGAGAGGTGATCACTGTTTGTCTTTGCTTTATGCATTTAAAAAATGTCTTGAATGTATTATATGTATATACATATTAAAACTTATCTTTTTGTTATAAACGTACACTTATCACATAAAAGTATGAAGACAAATTGTCCAGAATGCTTACTACCGGAAAAACTGTTAACATTTTGATGTTTACTCTTTTAAAAAGATTTGGTCTTTACTATAGTGGAGATGTGGTAAAATATGGGGTAAAAAAGGTAAGATATAGATTCATAGAGATATGCAAAAAAAAAAATAAAAATTATGAATATACAAAAAATACAGTGGCTATTTTCTATGTAGTGGGATTTCGGGTACTTTTAAAACGATGTTGCTGATGATAATGATAATGGCTATGACTTATTGACCATTTTTTTGCCAGACATTACGCATTTTAATCGTTATGAAAACCCTGAAAGTCGGGTATTATCCTCATTTTACAATTAAGGAAACCAGAGATGCAATTGAGATTTGAAGCCAGGTCTTTCTCGACCCAAAAGCCATGCTCCTAACCATTAGGCTATACTGCCTCTTGGTCCTTCTGTTTTTCCATCCATCTATAAGTATCTATAATTACTATTAATATATTTTAAATGCCGAATCCAATTTTGGAATTAAGGTTATTCAAGCTTTACTGGATGATGGGGAATATCCTTTTTTATATTCTAGGGGAGTTTTTTAAAATTGAAATAATCTGTTTCTTGACAGTTGAGTAAAATTCACCTATAAAACCACCTGGTTCTCGTGTTTTCTTTGTAGGAAGAAGTTTAAGTAATACTTCAACTTCCTTAATGGCTATAAACCAATTCAGACTTTCTAATTTTTCAGCATTGTTAATATTTTTCTAGGAATTTGTCCGTCTTGCTTGTTTTTAAATCTATTGATATAATAATGTTGGTACTATTCTCTTATATTAAGCTCTGTTGAATCTATAATTATGCCTCTTTTTCATTCATAATATTATTTGTGCCTTTTGTTTTGATTGATATCACAAGACAATTGTCTACTTTGTTACTATTTTCAAAGAACTAACTTTTGACTTTGTGGATCCTCTATTTTTTTCCTTGTTATCTATTTTATTTATTTCTGGTCTTATCTTTTTCCTTTTTCTTTCTCGGGAGTTTATTCTTTTGTTCTTTTTTAAACTTAAGTTAGACATTTAGTGCATTGATTTTCAGGTATTCTTCATTTCTAATATAAACATTTAAACCTATCAATTTCTCCCAAAGCAGCACTTTTGCTGTTCCTCACAAATTTTGATAAGGAGTGTTTTCATTACCTCTCATTCATGCAGGAGAATGGATAATTGTGGTGTATGTATACAATGGACTATTATATAGCAGTAAAAAATGAAATGACCTACAGCTACATGCAATAATGTGGATGAATTTTAATTATATGATGTTGAATAAAAAGAACAAGTACCAGAAGACTATATATAGAATAACACCCTTGTCTAAAAAGTCCCCAAAGGGACAAAATGAAACAGCAACATTAGACATACATATATATGATGAAAATTTTAAAATGTAATTTCACGATAAACATGAAATTCACAGTGGTTAAATCTGCAGGGGAGGCAGGGAGACGGGCTGGGAGGAAGCCACAGATAGATGTAACTTATGGATAGTAATTTTACTCATGGGTGGGGCAGTGGATTCATGGATGTTCATTATATCTTTTATTTTAATTATTTGATTTATTTTATCTATTTTGATAAAATAAAATAAGGTCACCCTTGGACCAACGAGGACAGTGTGTTATGAACCAAGAAATAGGATTAATCCTATTCTATGCAACTGACGAGGAAGAAACAAAAATAAAAACAAACACACAAACAAATCTATATGTCAAAAAACCAGACTAATAAGCTTCACTTTTAAATAGAGGAGGATAAAAAAGTGTTCTCGGCCTCCCAAATGTAAAACCATGTGCTCTCCAAGGGTATGTGACCTCATGGCACCAGTAGTTATAGAAAACTAATTTTAATTTCTGTAACTAGAGTTTAAATTCATAATAAAAACAAACGTTAGAATGAACATACTGTTTTTCTCATAACACTTAAAATCTAGGTCTATGTAGGAAGCTTCTTTATGGATTTTCAAATCCTTTTAATCTCAAAACCATAACAGCTACATTTATTACGAGTTTCCTTGGCCTCAGGCACAGTCCTCAGCATTCCACATACACTAAATCTCTGAGTGCAGGGTCACCCGCTGGACACTGGTATCCCGGTGCCATGCACTAGAGAAATAAACTCTTCTTATGCGAAGCCCGAGATTCTGGGGTTTGTACAATTCAACAGCATGAGTGTTCCTCTTCGAGGTGAGGAAATGCATCTGTGCTGGACTTAGAGAACAGGTCCTGAAGGGCCTGCCCTCTCCAAGGGGGGCTTGGCTACAGGCATCAACTCCCCCCTTTAGATTTAACTCACTCCTTAAGAGCAGTGGGGGTCAAAGACAGAGGGGCAGAGCAGACAAAAGCTGGAGTTGTCATCAGCTGGAGGGCCCTGAGCAAGTCAGCTCTGGAACAGCACACCTCATCCCGCACCTACTTTGAAAGCCTAAGGCATTAAAGCCCATGTGTCTGGGACCTGTTGGCCCGTGCAGGGTATGACGAAGGCAGGAGCCTGGTGACACAAACAAAAGCAAACAACAAAATGCCGCCTCTCTGCGTCTTGATGTTCCGTCAGGAGGAGGCTGAGACCTAGATTAATACGACGCTGGTCTCACGCCTGTCAATCTAGGTCTTACATCAAAAGCAGGATTCAAGGGCAGCTTGGAATGAAAGACACATGCACGATAAGGCTTTTAAGGCTAAAAACTAAGTAGGCAGAAGGGAACCAAATATTCTAACCCCCTAAGCTGCGTGTGTATAATTGCTGCCCTGGGGTCGAACTTCAATTCTAATATGTCGGTATTGTAGATGCATTTGCCAATGGGTTGGACGACAATGAACCACATTTAAATTTTTATAAAAGCAAATTTGCACCAGAGTTAACCTGACTCCTACAAAAGAATGAAGTGTTTTCAAATGTAACAGTGGCAGGTAGAAAGGAGCTGGGGAAAGAGAGTTTTGATTAAATAGATGTGGGTCTGATTTCTGCCTCTCTCTCCCTTTTAGAGACCTTTTGAGTCTCGACTTCCCCACCAGTGAAATGGGATGACAGCCCCTGCGTCTTCAACTGGTCTTTAGGATTAAAACTCATGATCATTCTGAAGAATAACAAATACATACCTTTTCTGAGGAAACAGAGCACAACACAGAGGTGTAGCAAATACCAAACTTAAAAAAAAAAAAAAAGACAAATCAGAGCATTTTGAAATGGTCGACTTTTTGGATTCTTTTTCCATTTTACTTTTATAACAATCCTCTTTCTTTCGAGCATTATATGCCTCACAAAAACATGTCCTGTTTGTGTAATTTTATTACCAAAGACTCCCAAAATAATTTTTTTTAAAAATCAAAGAGATATAGGAGTTTAAAAAAGAACCATGCAAATAGCCCAAATGAAGTTTCCCCAAATGACAGTTTACTTCTAGCTAATTATTGGGACCATAAGTTCCAGAGGTTCTGGGAAGGTCTCATTTTCAAAACGTGTGTCCCGTATTATCCACCCTTTCCCTCACCTTTCATATGCTATGTATCTTTAAAAAAGACATTAATTATATCAAAGTAATTCTACTCACCAGAAGCCAACTAGCCCAACTTGAATAGGCGCGCTCATCCACGGGAACCTCTGTATTGAGAAATAAATTATTTGAATACTTTCCACACAGGCTCTTCGAGACAATGTCTTCCGCTGGTTAACTGGAAGGAACCTCTCCACGTTACAAGATCCAGATGGAAGGTGATTAGTGACTGACGTCTGGGGTTAACACTGCAACAAGCGTGTTAGTTCTGACTTCCTGCAGCCCCCCCTTGATCTGCCAAGGAATGCACATGCAAAGACCAAGTGGCTTCTCGTTTTTCCCCCTTGCACATATAATCTGAGTGACACTTGGCTGTACACAGGAGGTGGAGAAATTGCTATCATTTAGTTATAATTTATCTCCTGGCTGGGGAGGCAGGATAGCCTGCGGCCCAGGCTGGAAGACAAACAAACCTGCGCTCAGGTCTCTGCCCAAGGGGCAGGGGAAAGGGCAGAGCCCTACCTCTGTAAGCTTTGGTTTCCCTCCCTGCTGATGTGGATCACAGCAGCTTCCTAAAGGCATGTGGGTGAAGACACACCAGACAACATTCACAAAGTACAAGGCGGGACGTAGCAGAAACCCAGCAAACATTCCCCCCTCCTCCCATGCATCTTTCCTTTCTTGGTTTTCGTTGCTGTCAGTATGGTTAAGACTACTGCTGGCATAAACAATTTTTGACTGCCACTTGTTTTTTTTAATGCAAATGGATAAGTTGGGTGGTCTTTTGGAGAGTAAGTGCTGTTAGATTTTTAGTTTTCAAAAAGGAGTGGTACCAAAATACACAAGATAAAGGGCAGTGAAATATACAGTTACATACAAAAGGCCACTGAAACAGCTGCAACCAACTCGTGAGTTGGTGTAAAGAAATCAGCCAACTTAGTTCAGAGTCAACACAAGCTGTTAAAGGAGCATGGTCCCAAAGTGGCTTGCCTGAGAGGCGTACCCTGGTCCCCGAGAAGACTCCTCTGGTGAGAAGGTACATCACACGGGTTAACGTGGGGGGAGAGAAGCGTGGACTGGAGAGGAAGGGAGAAATGTGGTCAAGAGGAGGCCGATTCACAGAGCTCACACAGAGGGCCCAGCCCTCAGAGAGCAAGAGAAGAAAAGACTGTCTCTTGGGCGGCTAGCTCCATGTGATGACCAAGGATTTTCCCAAGGAGATGGTAAATCCTCACCCCAGCACATTCCCAACGTGTGACGTCTGTGCTGGTACACAGACTTGGTGCTGGGAAGGCAAACTAGACACTGAAGGAGATCTTGTGGAAGGATGACCTTGAGCCCATGAGAGCAGCCTCCTCACTTCAAGTGGATTCTTGTCTGCAGCAGACGGGGCTCACCTGTTATCCCAGGCAGCCGCTGCGTGCAATCTCAAAGCAGGATGCGCGCAGACTAAAGGCTGACTGTGGCTGGCACGGACGGTTTTGTTGGAAAGGCTCTCGGTAATGACAAGGACCCTGGAGAATTCTGACTGATCCCACGGAACCCAACCTGGATGTCATCCCTTCTCCTGACTCCTCTCCAGCACCCCATCCTGCCTAATTCACCCCTACTTCTTCAACAGAACTTAGTCTGAGACAGAATTAGCGAGCTGTGAATGTCTGGTCTTCCCCTACATACTCATAGAACTCCTTGGGGTAAGGACATGTCTTACGCAGCACAGAACTGTGCAAACAGAGAGTATTTTAAATAAAAGTTTAAATGAATTAAAGACAGTAATCACATGTTAAAAAGATATTCAATGAGGTAAAAGCTTAAAAAGTTAATATGACTCTAAATTCTTTCTCCTCCCAATGATCTTTTTTCCAATAGCTTTGATTTATGATAAATTGCACATACTTAATGTGTACAGTATAAGTTTTGACATATGTATTCAGCTGTGAAGCCATCACCACAATCAAGCTAATGAACATATCCATCCCCCTAATGCTTTCTTTGTTCCTTGTGCCCTCGGCAACTCCTCCCTCTTCCCTAAACTCTGCACCCTGTTCCCTGGCAACCTCTGATGTCTTTTCTGTTATTATAAATTAGTTCGTATTTTCTAGGATTTTATATACAGTATCTCCTCTTTTGTGTAATTATTTTGAGACTCATTCATGTTGCTGCATGTATCAACAGCTCATTACTTTTTATTGCTGAGTTAGGTGTTCCACTGCATGGATACATCACAATTTGATAAGCCATCCTCTTGTGATGAACATCTGGGTTGTTTCCATAAAGCTGCTGTGAACATTTGTCTTTTATGGACCTATGCTCTCATTTCTCCTAGGTAAATACCTAGGAGTGAAATGGCCAGATCATATGGTAAGCGTATGTTTAACTTTTTAAAGAACTGCCAAACTATTTTCCAAAGTGGTTGTACCATTTTACATTCCCACCAGCAGATGAGAGTTTCAGTTCCTCCACATCCTTAACAACACATGTTATAGTCAGTCTTTTTAATTTTAGCCATTTCAACAGGTTTAGTGGTAGCTAATCTGGTTTTAATGTGAATTTCCCCAATGACTAAAGACACAGAGCATCGTTTCACGTGCTTATTTGATATCTGTATATATTTGGTGAAATGTCTGTTCAAATATTTTGCCCATCTTCTTATTGAGTTTTTTTTTGAACGAGTATTGAGGGTTCTTTTATATTCTGGACACAAGTCCTTTATCAGATACATGCTTTGCATAAATTTTTTCCCAATCTGTTTCTTGTCTTTTCATTCTCTTTGTAGTTTTCAAAAAACAGAATTTTAACATTTTGATGAAGTCCAATTTATCAATTTTTCTTTTATGGACTATGCTTTTGGTGTTGTGTCTAAGAAATCTTTGCCTAACTCTAGGTCTCAAAGATGTTCTATTATATTTTCTTCTAGAAGTCTGACAGTTGTAGGTTTTTACATTTAGAGTTTATGAATCATTAGGAATTAACTTTTATGTATGGTACAGTCAATTCCCTACATATGACCCACATCCCAGGATGTGACCATCCACAAGTCTCCCCACGGGCCATGCTCTGTGTCCTCTCTGAGCTTCTGTAGAGCATGGCCATTGGCCAGTCCTCTTCACGTCTCTGCCCACCTACTGCAGTTGGGGGAGATACCTTCTCTACTCCCTCTGAGCCCCGTTCTGTAGTCACCACATGTTGGAACCGCTGCCCTGTGCCTCTTCCCATCACTGTGCTATACGGTCCCCGAGAGCAGGGCTCAGGCCCTGTTCTATGACTCTAGCACTAGCAGGCTGCTTGGCATGCAACAGGCATTCAGCACAGGGCTGCTGAATAAACGAATGAATGAACAAAGAAATGCTACTTTCACATTCAATTAGCAGACGATTCTGGAAATCTGAGTAGACAGAGCAGTCCACCTTTATTACAGGAATATAGAACTAGAACTTGAGGAAGTGGAACTATTATCTCACCCAAACCATATCAATTTTGTTCCCGATGAAAGAGCCAGCGAGGTAAAGGGACCACAGGAGCTCTTCTTCAAGAAAGCTGTTTTTGAAGCACCAGATTTTAGGCAGTGAATTTTTTGGTTTACTGCAAAGATTTCTGTGAGTCACCTGCCCACAGCTGACGCTTTTTTCCAGCAATCCACTAGGGCAAAGATAAGGCGCAGGGGGAAGGATGAGTCATGTTGAATGCTCCCCAAGCTCACTGTTTAAAAAAGCCAAGAATGTTCAATTTGTTTCATGTTTGCAGAAGAGTTTGGTCATGTCCAAGCTTAAAGCCCAGATAAGTACACCCTTGCAGAGAGGCACATCTGGCCGCTGGAGCCGTGGGAACAATGAGAGGGCCGACCGAGGCAGACGCTACCCACATGGACATTCTGAGGTGCAGAGGAAATGATCTCTGGGAACTTGGTAGAGAAGCTCAGTAAAGCCTGCCTTTCAAAACAGCATGTGAAAGTGCTTTGGAGATGGAAACATACGGATGTTAATATAAGCCACCTCTGCCTACGTTTTAGTAATGGCTATACTATCAGTTAAGTCCTATGGTCTTCTGCCCACGTGGACAAAATGCAGTATTTCAGTGAAACAGCAACCTCAACCTTGAGAGTGGTACGTGTGTGTGAGTGGCTCAACAACATTTAGCCACTACTTTTTCAAAGCAACGTCCTCCACTGAGCTCTGGAGTACAGCTCCAACCAGACGCCCTGGAGCTAGTGAGGTGCTCGGACCGATCCGTGAGCTACTCTGATCATCTCTCTCAACCTCGTGACAGGGGTTCTGAAGCCAGAGGCCCCTCCGGCACCAGATGGGATGGGGCAGGCAGAGGGCTTCTTTGGGAAGGGTAAGGAAGTGGCACATCTCCAAATTATTATTGAAGGATATGGTATCAAGCAAAGCTAAAAACCAGAAACTAACATGAGGGAGGAAAACAAAATATTTAATCACTTATTATTGAGAAAAAGCCTAGGACAGTGGGGCAATGGTAGGCTAACTGCTTGTATCATTTGCTGGTTCCTTCAGGTAAGAAAATGCCAGGCTGTGTCAATAGCAATTTCCATCTGTCCCAGCAAGAAAATTATGCAATATGCTAACTCTGTCTTCTGTCCAGTGTTTGTCACTGAGAGATTAGAGTAACTGTGGCAACTATTCCAACAACACTGAGACCCCAGGAGTTCAAAGGCATGCCTGAATTGCGAGAATCAAGTACCAACTTCATTTCATATGTTTTCCCTGGTGACCTATCTTTTCAGCATTAACGTAGGTCCAAATGCAGACTTTCTTATAGAATTTCTGGAAGCCCAAGCCATGATCAACATACAAGTTAGCAGCCAGAGTGTACCCAATGTCCACAGGCTGGAGCCAGACACCACAGAATAATGTCCCACCAGAAGAGGCAAACACCAAGATTCAGAGCCTCTACTCCAGAGCCACGCTGCTAAGACCCTCTGCTAACTGGGGGTTGGGTGGCATCTGAGAGGCAGAGAGAAAGGAATGGGAAAGCTTCAATAGGGGGGATGTCGCCACTGAAGGTGGCCTCTGAACCGCTTTCACAGTCACCTGCAAATTCACCGCAACCACAACCCTGTTATCCTATTGGTGGAATGATCCGCATTCATTACTCCTCTTTTGCAAAAGCTGTCACTTTTATGTCAGACAAACTAACCTGATAAGATGACAATTTCCAAGCCTTGTCTCCACCTAGAAATCTGATCTTGCTTTAAAAACCTGATTTTGCTTAAATTCAGCAGGAGGGGGAGGTTAGGTTTATTAAATACATTTTTTGATTCACTGTTGCTCCTGAAGTTGGCATGCCAATACCTAAGAATTAACACCCAGGCAAGTCAAAAGGTTGCGTGGGTCAACATACGCCCCTGTGGAAACACTATAATCCTAATGACTGATCAGATCAAGAGCCAGCAGAGAAGAACACAGGGCATCCATTCAATGTCCGCAAAGTTATGGACCCAGTGGATGGGCCACTTACTACTAGCATCCTGGAGAATGATGTTGATGGCCCCCCTTCTAAATTCATTTGACAGGCTTTCTCCCTCACAGACCAAATCCCCGCCCACAAGTAAAGCAGGGAGGGATAGAGGAAAGCACATCAATTTTTTTCAGATTTTCTGAAAATCCTCAAGTGTTTACACAGCTTGATAGTTTTAAGATATAGTCACTGGTCCAGTACATAAACTAATCCCTTAGCAGCTTTAGAGTTTTTATTTTCTAAATGTTGTGCCAGAAAGTGATTTTGGCAAAACTTTTTCATTAATCTCCAAAATAAGAGTTACTGAAATAGGTAAACTGTTAAATGAGGCCACAGTTACATGTTGGCTTACACTAATAGCTTTACTGCTTAAATACATGTAACTGTTTTGTATTTTTGTTTAATCTTACAATGAAGGCTGTCAGAAACCCACAAGGGAGATGGATGAGGACTCAGAGGGCTTCCTGGGGTGGCCCAGGGGTCAGTGGATTCCTCCTGGGAATGCTCCAAGGAGCAGTGGGACCGTTCAGTCACTGCAGAGCCACTGTGACACTAACACTTCACATCGATGTGGAAGATTGCTCGAGGAGGAAGTTCAGGGAATATAATTCTTCCACATCCCCAAGGCTTCCAAGAGAGAATATGAAGGGGTGCTGAAGAGAAGGTCCCCTTTCCCTCGCATGGGGTTGGTGTATCGACATGTAACAACCTGGCTGTGTGGGTCAAATGAGGCGCTGGACATTACTGTTTCTTCATAGCAAACTTCTTAGCTTAGTTTTTCTAAAGATGTGATTGTACTGAAAGTGTTTATGAAGGGTTCACTTAGTGTTGGCCTTAGTTTTCCATCTGGGGCCCACAGGTAATATCACAGGTCAATGAACATACCTGATGGATATTCAGAATTCTCCTAATCACTGAAATCATTCAGGAAGTGTTTTATCTGTGAACTATGTCCTTTTTTCAAAGCTTTATAGTGTCCCCTTGATGTTACCATTCTGTTTCTAAGACCCAAAACAATTTACCCCAAGAGAACTTCAGTCTTTTCCTCAATACACCTGCTCCTCCAGTGAGGAGCCTCACCTGTTTCTCCTGGCAGATCTAACGGTGTCACTTTCCCAACAGCAGGAGCCAAGTGAGTCACCCTATCCCATCGTCTCCTACTTGTTACAAGAATTGGAAAACTAAAGTGAAGCATAAATACTATTGCATTAAATCATGGGCGCCACAGAAAGCAATGTAGAGAGAATGCATATAGTGCACCGAGATTTCTTGGTTACCATTTCATCCTGTAATATTTTCAGACCTTGAGGGAGGCAGCTAATAATTAATGAATTATTAAATATGATCACCAAAGAAAAATACATTGCGGCACTAAATTCAGTGTGCCACGAAGCTGCAACTCCAAATTATTTCTCCATTTCTGATAGTTTGTATAGAGAGTTACAAACATATAATTCCAAATTCACACCACCTGTTCATCATTACCTAGCAAGGCACCCAGTCGATGACCAAGATAAGTGTGTAACTGAGTTGTAACCTCTCAACAGAAGTGGGCAGCAGTCTGCATTTATGAGAGCTTTTTCAAATATCTGAGATTAGAAATAAAATGGTCCTGCAAATATTTTTTTTATTTACGTAAATGTCGAAGTGTCACTGTCCGAATTCTTTACTCACTACTTATGTAGGAGGAAATATACTGTATAGTTTGAAGTCTGAAAATGAATTGACAGGATTGAGATACGATGACTAGAACTGCGGCTTACCTTTAGAAAGGCTTTCTTTTCCAAAGTGTTCATGATAAATGGAGGGATGGCTGGAAGTAAAAATAGATCCACTTAAATCTTCATTTAGTATCTATTTTCAGCTCACATTTTTTTTCAACAATTTCAGAAAAGACTTATATCACTTTTAGGCTATTTTCACACTAGCAGAGTGAAGCTAATTGCAATAATGCTTTAAAATACTTCAGTATTTAAGAAAAAATCCACTGTGCCCATTTTCTAGATTTTTGAAAAATAATGTAATGCTCTTTGCCAGGCAGAAAATTTTATAATCTTGAAGAGACTTTACATTTAATATTAAGTACACAACAGGACAAACATCAGGACCTTTTCCCCCTGTACTAATAAAACAAACACAACCTTCCCCGGGCGTCCATTCCACGTGTACAGCATACAGACCGCCGCCTTGAGTCAGGCAGACCACTTGCTAGCTGGGTGATCCTGGAAAAGTTACCTCACTTTTCTGACCTCAGTTTTGTGTTTTCCTCATCTATAAATGGAGAGAATTATACCAAACTGGCCGGGATGATTAGATGTAATAATGCCCGGAAAACGTCAGGCAGCGTTAGTGCATTTACTCACAGTTTTTATCAGACTAAACGGTCACATTCACGGCTCCAATATGTCAACTACCTTTACAGATTTCACTGGAATAGAGAGACTGCATTCTTTCTCTGGGGACTAGATAAGGTTTAAAACAACTAAGCCACTGGAAACGGATTTGTTGGGCTGGCTGAACTCCAAAGAGGAGACTCAGACTTCAAAACGGGAAAGTACAAAACCAAAAGCAAGCCCAGGGCAGAAGCTGGATTTTGGCAAATCTGGAAATCTGGGCTCTGCAGGCATGTCGGGCAGGCCCCCAGCCTCCTGGTAGGTTAGTGAGGGGTGCTGCCCGACTCAGGGGACTCTCGGCCTACGTTTCAGGACTGTGGTTTCCACAGTGTACCCACCCCCACAGGGCACCCCACTGTCTCATGAGGCTGCTGAGGAGCTCCTTTGTTAAATCAGTTAAGGGTGGTTCAATTAGACAATCCCAATTAGCTGGAATGCGAGTATAATGCTCCTCAAACTTTTCCTTGATGCCCTTTTCTTCAGCTTTGCTGCCCACTCCTACCCGCCTCCTATGAACACTCACAGTGACAAAAGGAATTTAAAGACAACAAAAAATTGCGGGAAAACTTGAGAGCAGCTGATTAAATACTCTTTCTTTGAGAGCTTAGTCAACAGCCAAGTGTTGTTTGCATTCAGTTTAGATGAAGAAATTAAACACACTAATTTCTATTTTTTCTGCAAAGAGCACTGTAACTCCCAGGCCCTCTGGGTCCTGAGTTAGTCTCAGAATCTTCTCTAGGCTTCCTGTCTGAGGGCAGCTCTAAGAAGCCTTGGGAGTGAACGAGAGATTCTCAGAGGAAAAAGTACAATGTAGATTTTCTGCTATTGGTCATGCTAACTCCAAGCCCTAGGGACCAAACTGAGCAGGAACTTGGCACACATCTTATTAATAGCTGCTCTACTCAACCCAACTTGGTCTGTGTTCCAAGGGTGTCCAATTGATACAAATAAATCTTCAGTAGAAATTATTCCTAGTCAAGAACTTCCGGAAGTTTCTTTGTAAGATTTACAAAGATCAATTCCTTCCCTTCAAGTTCTCATCACCTCTCCTGTCACTGCCCTGGTCCACCCTGCCACCATCGTTCGCCTGGAGTACTGTGACAGCTTCCTGACCAGTCTCCAACCATCCCGGAGTCACACAGTCATGGATGCATGAATCACGCCACTCTCCTTCAAAACCCTCTGTGGCTTCCTACCCCTCAGATTAAAAGCCGGGGCTGGAAAGGCCTGCCGGCTGCCCACCTTCTGCGCTCTGGGGCCTCACTCATTCCATTCTCCTGTTCCCATCTCCCTCTCTACTCCAGCTACACCTGCCACCTTGCGATGCTTCTGACACATCAGGTAAGCACCTCCCTCTCCTGCTGTTCCGTCTGCCCAGAACATTCACCCCCACACCCACTTGGCTCACTCCCTCACCTCCGCCCAGTGCTCTTCCCTGGCGGTCCTGTCTACTTCCAGCCCGAGATCCCCAACCATCCTTTTCCCCTTAGGCTTTAGCACCATCTCACATATTACATATTTTACTTACTTATTTTGTTGATTCTCTGCCTCCTCCACTAGAAAGTCAATTCCACCAAGGGGAATGATTTTTTTTTCAGTTCACTGATGCAGAAACACTTGTTCAATCTATATTTATTGAATACATGAATGCATGGAAAGTTCTACTAACCCATGCCTGGGGCTGCCATGAGAATCCTGGAGATGACTACTTGTGTGATGGCTTGTTTGGCAGCATTTGCCGACTCGCCCAGGCGGTTCCCATTTTCATCAGTGACAGGAATGCCAACTTTGAGTTCCCTACAGAGCAAAACAAACAAAGAAGTCCACAGATGCCTGCGTGCAACGGCTGGAAACTGTGCCTACGCTGTGAAAGGGCAAGTCCCTACTGACCCAAAAACCCACTCAAGTGTCATTTTTGGCACTAAGAAGTCTACTTTAAATGCCATGGACAAGGTTATCCTCATATGATAGACACAAAAGTAAAATAACACTAGTAAACTTTGTAAAAAAGGGTATAGTATTTTTAATAGAAATATGACTCAAAGGGTGAATGCTAACTTAAAGAAAAGGCTAATTTCTATGCTCATGCGCAAATTTGAACAACTCTTCAAAGGAGAGCTAGCTCTAGTATGGAGCATTACCAAGTAAACTGGCTCTTCTGACACAGAGGTCACTAGCACACGGCATGACTGGATGTGTGTTAACCACAGTCACTAACACTATAATTAAAAGCTCCCATTGTCAGCCTGTCTTTCGCTATCCATTCCAAAATACGTTTTCTCATTCTTTCTTCTCCTTTAATTTTCGACAGTTCTAAAAAAATACTTTCAAAGATATAGATTAATATTATTTTAACCCCCCCAAAAAAAATTCTAGGGGGAAAAAGAACCTTTTTTAGAGAATAAGCTTGCTTTGCATAGACCTTCTTTGCCTAGCCCTGCACAACTAAATGTAAGTGTGAGATATTTTTTTTTAACTTTTTATTATACAGAAGTAGAAAGAGTATTCTAAACCCTCATGTACTCATCAGCCTGCTTCAATAAGTAGCAACTCCTGGCTAAGCTTTTTCCATAATGGACCCATCCTCACCCTCAACGGCAGATTATTTTGAAGTAAAATCCAGATCTCATATAATTTCATCTGTAAATAATAAGATAAATTTTAAAAAGTTTCAACAAAGCTAATTATTACAAGAGACTCTACTGTCCAGCACAAGTCCTTTCCAAGAGCACATATTAATCTTACCTTTGCCTCATTAATGGGATATTGATGCAATTAGCAGCAGCGACGGCCGCGAAGGGAACAAAACGTCCTATGAGAGGTGAGACGTGCTGCAGAAAAGAGATCCCAAAGGCATTATTTGACTTTTCCTGTAGTACTGAATTGAAACACTTGTTTCTTCTTAAAAACTGCTAAAAATGCAGAGTCCTATTTGTACAGAAACTCAGGCCAAGAGTACTTTCAAAACTTGTTTCTTAGCAGTATTTTTATATTGCCAGCATGGGCATACTGGGGCCACGTTGATGTCTAGGACATTCTGACAGCTTAGCGTGGCTGATGGGGGAGGGGCTCTGGAGTCCTGAAGTCTTGAGTTTAGATGCTGGCTCCCCCACCTCTCCAGAGGCGGGGCCTGAGGGTGAGCATTTAGCATTTAATTTAGCACTTAAAACACACCGTCAGGCACAGACCAGGGTCTTAGCGCATGGTATTGGTGACACCCCTTCCCAAGCTTATTGGAAGATATAATTAAAACATGCAGTTGAAGATAATGATTATATTTAGAAAGTAACGGGACTTGAACTATTTTGAGAAATAATAGACACACTTAGACCCAGTCAGGTGGGAACAAATTAAGGAGCTTTACCACAGAAAGAAAAATTTGAGTACCTTGGTTAATGCATTGAGTCCTAGAGCTGTTGCTACAGCACCAGTTGTTGCAGAAACATAAGCTGTTCCCAGTTCACTGAAAAGAAAGAGCACAGAGCATAAACAACGAGTGCGTGTCAGCAAACTCAGGACAACGTTTTTTGAAGAAATGAGGGGAAAATGTGAAAGAGCATGACTAAGAATGGAGATTCCACACAACAACATTCACTATCACTTTACAGGTAGAGAAGTCCAGAGAAAAAGCAAGCAGACCCACAACAAATGTCATTCTTCACATGTAACCTGATTAAACCCCAAACAACCAGACACAGAGAACATGTGTGTGGGGGTGAGGAAGGAGGGAGCTGGGAGTGTGCAGAAAGCTACAAACGTAGGGAAATGCATATTGGACTAAATGTTTGTAGTATATTGGCTTAAATAAAAAATACTTCTCAAAATATCAATTTTAGTGTATAAAAATTCTAAAAGTCTCATCTTCGAAATACAATTAAGCCCAACCAATTCTCTCTTATTTTAAAGTAAATTTTAATTCAAGAATTGGACGAAAGGAAGGTGTGATAAACACTGCTGGTTGCAGATTTGCAACTCCTTTGTTCCATTTGATGACAGTAGAAGAACATGGGCGGTCAAAAACAATTTCAAGTGATAACACAAAAAAGAAAACACTCTCAAGTGTTACACAAGTTGTGCTGAAAGCTTCGGTTAACTAATCACTTAAGCCTGTCTAAAAATTTTTTTACAGAAGGCAAAATATTAAGCCCATTTTACTTCCTTTTCAGCTCCAAAGATGACCTCTTTTAAAGACAAATCAGATATAAACAAGTCCCCTTGATCTCTGCGGAGACCACACTGCAGACCCTGCAGTTTGACTTGGTGTCCCTCTGCACACGCAGGGTGATCGTTCACCATAGGCCAGCCTGGAGCTGCCTGCTGTGTGTTCTGCAGAGGAAGGAGCCCGAGGTGTGGCAGAGCCATCCTCCCACCAGCACCATCCTCCCACCAGCGCCACCAACAGCACGAGTCGTGTCCGAGAAGGTAGGCTGGAAAAAACAGTTATCTTGATAGGGAGGAAAAGAGGCACTAAAATATGCTCCATAATAGTCTGAACAATATAAACCATTTGTCCAAGTATACTTTTTTAAACAGGAGAAGATCACTGAATCAAATGAACCCTGGAGAAGCGAAGAGGGCGGGTACATCTCACAGCCTTACTTTACAGTGAGGGGTGCGTCTCCACTTCTGTTGGTGTAATTGACCACGGCATTGAAGGACTGGTTAATCCACTGCCAGAAGAGCACGGCCGGCGTGGTCCTGAAACAGAGCGACCCGTCACACACCCACCTTCGCTTGTGACCCGGCGGCTGCGTGGAACAGAACACGTGAACACCAGGAACCAGGAGAGGGCTGCAGAGGGGAGAACGCTGCCACAGACTGTGCGTTCCGGGTCAAAGGCTCAGGATCCGTGTGGCTAGAAAGGTTTTCATCCTTGTGATTGTGTTTCCTCATTCGTTAGACGTGGGTAACACCAAGCTTGGAGGGTTACGGTGAGGACGAAGTTCTCTTACTCAAATTTTATCTTAAATTGGTACAAAGCCCGACATAGAGTAAGCACTCAATAAATGCCAGGTCCCTTCTCTTGGGGGAAAAAGAAGCCATTTGCAGGCTAAATAGTCCTGATCCCCCCTCACTGCATGTATAAGTGTACCTGTCTATGTCTACACCTGCACCTACACTTACACCTATAGCATCTGAATGGATTAAAAAGAGAATTTACTTACAGACTCCTTTTATTTTCTTTCTCCATCTCATTTTCTTTTGGGTCTAAGATTTAAGGGAAAATTCAACCTCCTTTTGAATAAGAAAGAGAATACTATTCAGCAGAGGGAAACGGTAAACAAGCCCTGAGAGTTATAACATTTATACCAAATGGGACTCAACATGAAATGACATTTATTTACATAGAGCTATTTACATATAAAAATGTCCTTTAAGCTTCTGTAATATAAAATGAACAAATTGTTGCCACATCTCCATAACTTACCTATAGAATGTCATCATACAGCCCGTGATGGTCATGTTCATGGGAACCTGGGCTGACATTCTTCCTATCAAAATCATCTTTTCCCCAGTGTCAGGATGAAAAGCGGAATCATAGATGTACTTTGCCCTCCATAACTCATTCTCTGTGAGACCTGGAGGAACAATTCCTTGTCTAGGACAATAACAACAACAAACATGGCAGTTGTTCATTTCAAATATCTCACCAGTTTTCTAGAGACACACAGCTAGAAGTTCTCAGGTTTACACTTACCTAAGACAACTGTGCCCGGATGCAGGACAAATCTAACATTACATAAAGTCCGTGAAATTTTAATAACAAAAAGGACAATAAACACTTAAAATGAATATTTCAAACCTACATATCTCAAATTAGCTATAAATTGGAAAAACAAAAACATATAATAGGGAAGTATTCAACTTTGAAATATTCTTTGTTTTAAATAACATTTAAAAATGTATTTTGAACTTTGCAAATTCTAAAATATTTTTAACTGATTTGACAAAAGCTGTGACAATCAAGAACATTAATTCATTTTTAAAATTATAGTTTGAAAACCTAGATTAGAAAGGCTCATTATAATTTTTTCTCCTTATCAAAGAAACACATATTCATTGCTAGAAATTTAGAAAATACAGAAATTCATTAGAGCAATTAAAGTCATTCAAGCCATGACCTCCTCATCAGCACTGGAAATGCTCTGGGGAATACACCGTGATTCCCTGCTATGATCTATATACACGATGTGCTCATTTAAAGGTATCGCACAGGGCCGGCCCCGTGGCATAGTGGTTAAGTGCGTGTGCTCCGCTGCTCGCGGCTGGGGCTCGGATCCCAGGTGCACACCAATGCTCCGCTTGTCAGGCCATGCTGAGGCAGCATCCCACATAAATTGGAGGGAGATGGGCACGGATGTTAGCTCAGGGCCAGTCTTCCTCAGCAAAAAGAGGAGAATTGGCACGGATGTTAGCTCAGGGCTGATCTTCCTCACAAAAAAAAAAAAAGGAAAAAAAAAAATAAAGGTATTGCACCAAACCTGCCGCTTTATAACCATTTTTTTATTCAATAATATTTTGTAAACATTTCTCTACATATTTAGCTATTTTTCTGTATCATCTATACTGGGTTGAATAGTGTCCCCCCAAAATTCACATCCACCTGGAACCTCAGAATATGACCTTATCTGGAAATAGGGTCTCTGCAGATGTAACTAGTTAAGATGAGGTCATGCTGGATTAGGATGTGCCCTAAATGCAACAACTGCTGTCCTTATAAGATGGCCATGTGCAGCCATGCAAAGAAGGCCACGTGACAACAGAGGCAGAGACTGGAGTGATGTAGCTACAAGCCAAAGAATGCCTAGAGCCTCCAGAACTCGGAAGAGGCAAGGAAGGACTCTCCCCTAGAGCCGTCAGAGGGAGCATGGCCCTGCCCACACCTTGATGTCGACTTCCAGCCTCTGGAACTGTGAAAGAAGAAATTTCTATTGTTTTAAGCCACGTAGTTTATAGTAATTTGTTCTGGCAGCCTTAGGAAATTAATATATCATCCTTTCAAATGCTGCACAGTATTCCACTGTATGACTTAATTAATATATTATACCAGTTCCCTACTGTTAGACACTTTAATTGCTTCTAATCTTTTCTGATTGTAAATGATGAGAAAGTAAACATCCTCATAAATAAATCTTTCCCCACATCCAAGATTATCTAGAAAGAAATGAGTACATTTGCTGAGATAAAAGCTGCATAAAATATTAAAACTGTAAATACGTCTTTTATCCTTTTTCTCTACTTGAGTATGTCTTTTTTATCATCATCAGCAGCAACATCATTACTGTTCAGGTAACTTGTATATATACTTTATACACTGCAGATAATTTTGTTAGTGTTATCAGTTGTCCTGGAAATTTTTATTTTTATCTAGTCAGGTAGGAACAAATGAAGTTTCTGTCTAGAAAGGCCTGACTCATTTCAAAGATTACACAAATGTTCACCTCTACTTCTCACATTTTCAAAATAGTTTTTTTGTCACTTAACTTTTTAATCTACTTGGAATGTATCTTAAAATATGAAAATGTGACACTTGTTTAACTTTTCTTTCCACTTTGCTGGTCTGCCACTCCAATACTAAGATTTAAATGCTATATTCATCGTCACTTGAGATTTTGTGAATGCTAGGTTGGATTTCTGGATTTTCTATAGTGTTCCCATTATCTGCATCTTCCGGTTGCCAACACCCACCATTTTAATTTGACAGTTCATTTTAGTATCTGGTAGGGGAACGGCCTCTCACTCCATTACTCTTTCTTTTTCAAAAATGCCTTAGTTACACTCATTAATTTATTTTTCCAGATAAACTTTAGAATCATTTTGTCAATTTCATGGGTGATCACAATTCTATTTTGATGGAAACTATTAATCTGGAGAGAACTGACATCTCTACGAATTAAGACTTTTTATTCAGGCGTACTGCATTTCTCCAGTTACTCAGAGGCTCCTTTTAATGACCCCAGTAGTCTTGTAATTGCCTCACACATCTGGGTAAGTTTATTCCCAGATATTTTATACATATACATTTTGTTTTTATGAATGAGATTAAAAAATATTGTCTGATTATTGCTGGTGTATAGGAAACTACTGAGTTTTTGTGTATATTACAAGCAGCCCTCTCACAGTCCCTTACTTGTTTCATTTGTTTTCCAGTTGATAGTTAAGAATATCATCATTTGCAAAAACAAAAAAAAAACTGTCTCATCTTTTCAATATCTCTATATCTCATTTCTTTTTCTGTCTTACTGAATTGGTTAGGGCTTCCAGAACAATGTTATATAACAGTGAAGGTAAAGGCATCTCTGACTTGCTTCTGACTTTAATGAGAAAGCCTCATAGGGCAACATTTCTAGGGGAGTGTTATCTTGAATATTAATAGATGTTACGGGAAAAAAGAAAGGGCCCATATCTAAGTCTGGGAAAACAGATTAAACAGCTGTCTTTACTCCAGGACTTCTTGGAATCTTAAAAAAAGTTAATGAGATATGACATCCTCAAGAATGGGATGTAAACTTTCCCAAACTTCACTACTAGAACCACCTTCTTTTTTTCGGGTAAGTATTCCATAGGATTACTTTTCTGCAGAACTCTTTTTAGGAAGTTTCATTATTTAGTGTCTGCTAGCTGCTAACGTGGGATATGTATTCTTTATCACACTAAAGAAGTACTGTACATTATTCCCAGATGATTATTTTCTGAGAAATAGATGTATAATTTTACCTTCTTTTGGGCATCTATTAAGATGTGGCTTTTCTGCTTTGACGTGATAAATTACATTGATAGATGTCCTAAAATTAAATCACCTTTTTATTTGTGGAATAAATCCTACTCATTCATGTTTTAACATAAGGTTGGATTTGATGTGCTAGTATTTTATTTTGGATTTTTGCATTATTAATTTATAAGATGGATCATTATTTCTTTCAGTGTAATTTTGTCATTTATAGTATCAGGGTTGCAAATGAATTGGGAAGCATCTCCTTTTTTTCTATGCTCCCATAACATTTAAAATAAATAAATCAGCCTTATTAAGATATAATTGAAATATTAAAAAAGTCACCTATTTTAAGTGTGCCATTTGATGAGCTTTGAAAAATGTACACAGTGGTGTAACCACCTCCAGAAGCATGGTATAGATTATTTCATCTCCCCAAAAGTTCCCTCAGGCCCCTTTAGAGTCATTCTCCCACTTCCTGGCAACCATTGATCTGCTTTCTAGTACTACGGTATTGCCTCTGAGACTTTCACATAAATGGAATCACACAGTGAGTACTATTTTGTGTCTGGCTTCTTCCAATTTGCATAATGCTTTGAGATGCATCTTGGTTGTTGTATCAGTAGTTGGTTAATCACTGAGTAGTATTCCATTCGATCAATGAACTATAGTTATTTATCAATTCTCTTTTTAGCTATTCTAGTAGGTATGAAGTGGTATCCACTAAGCAATTAATGATGTTGAGCATCTTTTCATACACTTACTTGCTATTCCTATATTGTCTTTGGTGTTGTCAGTCTACTCAAATCTTTTGACCATTTAAAAAAATTAGGTTGGAATTAAAATAGTTCTTTATATCTTCTTGGACACAGTCTTTATGAGACATAAGTTTACAAATATTTTCTTCTAGTCTATGAATTGCATTTCTGTTTTCTAAATAGTGTCTTCTGAAGTGAAAAGACATATTTTTTCCTTTATTGTTCATGCTTATGTCCTTTCTAAGATATCTTGGCCTATCCCAAAGTCATACGGATTTTCTCTTGTTTTCTTCTAGAAGTTTGTATACTTAGGTCTGTCATTCATTTCGAGGTATGTTTCGCTTATGGTGTGAGGTGAGGATGGACCTTCATTTTTTATATGAATATCCAATTTTGCCAGAACCATTCATTGAACAGAATATCCTTTCTCCATTGAATTATCTTGGCACCTTTTATAAAATCAACTGACTTTTTATGTTTGAGTCTATCTCAGGATTCTCCATTCTGTTCCATTGATCTATATCCTTACAGCAATGCTATGCTGTCTTGATTACTAGAGCTTTATACTAAGTCTCGAAATCAGGTAGTATGAGTATCTCAACTTGCTCTTCTTCAAAACTGTTTTGAATATTCTAGGTCTCTTGTATTTCCATTTAAATTTTAGGATTAGCTTGTAAATTTCTACAAAAAACCTCCTGGGATTTAGGTAATTACACTGCATCTCCAGATCAATTTGGGAAGAGGTGACATCTTAACATTGAGTCTTCCAATCCATGAACATAGTTATGTTTCTCCATTTAAATTGCTTCAAGCAGTACCAGCACACAGTAAGCGCTAGGCAGCATTCGTATTTTCTTTTTATTATTTTGTGTCGTTCTTTAATTTCTTAAGCAGAATTCTCAGTTCATTTATCATCTTCTCTGATTTCTCTCTGTAATTTCATGTGTGTGTGTTTTGGTGTATTTTATGTTTTTGTTAAAGTGATCTCCCAGTATTTAATATTTTTGTTCCTGCTAAAAATGGTATTATTTTTAAAATTTCAATTTTTAGTTGTTAAATGTTACTATATAGATACATAATTGATTTCTGTATGTTGATCTTATATGGTGTAACTATACTAAACACACT